CCCACAGGCTCAGGCAATCCACTCACCTCAGCCTCCCAAAGGCACGGGATTACAGGCTGAGCTACCAAGCCCGGCTGCTATATTTTCATTAAAGCCCAAATCATTATTTTTACAGAGAAATTAGTATTCATAGAGAACATTAAAAGCTGTGATAATGCTTTGGAAACAATTTCTTTTAAGATTATTGCCTAATCCCCTTTAAAACAGCTAACATCATTTTGACTCTGAAGAGCGAGGAAGGGCACTGTAAGTTGTTTCAAGAAAAGATGTCACTGCTTATTTCTGAAAAGTCCCCCCCAAAATTTTCAGTAACACCATCAGACTGACCAACAAAAGTGAAACTCCAATCAGGCTCATTTGAAATCCACTTCTCTCTGGCTGTATCTGCCCCCTTGTGGAGAAGCAGGGAAAGAGGCCTGAATTTTAAAAAGGAGAAAAAAGTGGACAGCAGGGGTTTATCAGAATAGAGTAAGCTTAGTTGCTCACTCAGTAAATATTCTGGACTAAGATACTGGTTGAACGCTAGATCTCTTTACATGTGGCTTAAAAAATGAAGGCTTGACTAATTTTAGAGAAACAAACAGGTGTTTACAGATGAAACATATCTGACATCTAGGAGGTACTTCAAAACAATCTGGAGATGGGAGAACATGGAGAAGAGAAGACCGGCTGCGGACTGCCGGCTGTCAAAGTCAGGCATGTGTGCTCTCATCTGTCTTTAAACTTTGCAAATTAACATTCGGAAGTCATCTGAGTGAGGCAATCAATTCCTTGCACTTCATAAAAATTGAAGAATATTCCATTTATTCTCTTCCAGTTTATTCTCCTTTCTGTTCAGTAATGAAATATATTTATTAATAGTTACAGTGAATACTGTACTGAGCAAAAATGTGCAAATTATGACAATCCAGTTCCATTTTGTGGTTTACAGCCTGACCATTAAAATGATAATAAATTACTTACTTTTTAGATACTCAAATCTAACAAACAAAATATATGTATATCATCACTGAACATTTTCAACTAGGAAAGTAACAACTTATTAATACCTTATGTGCTTATAAAAAGTGTCATGTCTTATTTTTAAGTGAACTGGCTATACAAGACAGAAACGGGTTCACAGTCACAATAACATGGTTGGCCTCACCACAGACCACTGCTGTTTTAGCAGTGAGCAGACGTGTGAACCATGGGGAACAGAGGCAAACGTTCCAGGTGCTGGACGCAAGAGAAAGCTCAAGCCTCCACCACAGAACTCCAGGCAATTTAAGTATGGAGGAAGACTCCAGGTGGCAGAAGCAATGGGGTGATTTTTCTAGATTTTTCTGTTCTTGGAGATATGGAAAAGCTCATTCCAAGTGAATGAAGGAAGGCTCCAACATTCTAGCCCAGCCTGCCAGTTATAAAACAGCAAGGGGTGCAATGGTGTTTCTTAGTAGGTGGGAAACGATAGCCTCAAAGAGTAATACATCAAATGAAAAATAAAAAAATAAGTAAACTGTGCAACAGGAAACAAAATCTAAACCAAGAATCTTGTAAAATTATCTTTTTTTTAATTATAAAAAGTATAAACTCCATAATTACACTTCTGGATATCAATAATTTGTGCTAAGGGAAAATGAATGTGAATTTAAAAATGAGCTTTTTCCAGATACAAAATGAAATTAACTGCAACTGCTCACCTAAACATCAGTTTCAAAATAATGCTCAAATCTTATTTTTTTTTTAATCTATTGACTACTCCTGATTGTGACATTTCTAACACACTGTCCCTAGTGCTCAACTGTATGGTCAAATTTCTATAAAAAGTTAATCACCAGAATATTGATAAGATTGAATTCTTGATATGTGGCCAACAGCATGGGGAGGGACGGGGTATGAGTTAATACGGTCACTATCAGAAAATACTTTTCCCCATAATTATTTTAAAGTTCCATGTGAGTGTTGTTTTCCAGCTCCAAAACTGGAAAGGATTTTTATCCCTGGTATGATGTGTCTGCCTTCTATAAAGAAATCATACTTGTAATGTACCATGCAGAGAGGTTACGCTTATTTTCCCCTGAAGAACTAATCTCAAACACTGCAGACTTAACAATCTTTCTTTTGTTCACCAACCTGGCAATGCAACTAGCAGTACCACTTTTTCATCATAAAAATGCACATGTGCCACAGTTTTAAGGTAAGATAACCACAACCTTGTAACTGCAAGTAATATCCCAGTCTACTAAAACAAACAAAAAAAATCCCCAAAGCCTTCAAATTAAAGGTTAAATATTAAAACAACAAAAAAGAACATTTTAATAATGAACAAAACAAATTTTTAAGAACAATGCTATCCTGTTTCCAGACTGTACAGCGAAACCGCTGAAGCGGCTGCCTCTGAACAGGAGATTGGGGGCTGCAGTGCGGGAACAGGAAGGAGAACTGATGCTTGTCTCACAGGGCTGAGCACGACTGAAATGCCATTACCATTCACACACACGTGCTACTTTTCCATTCAAAAGAACAGTGAAGGTATCACCACGTGAGCAGAACAGTCATACGCAGATCTGGACCACAACTTTACATTCAAAACAATGTAAAGAACTAAGGTAATTCCATCTTAACCTGGCTTTCTCAAATAATTGACTAATTCTGTTTGTATTTATAAGAAATCTAAAAACACCCTTTCTACCCCAGATAATTTTTAATGTAGAATACTTTAAAAACCAAACTACTATCACCAGAAAAAAGAAATCTAGCACTTACAGTCTTAAAACGTTATTTTAAAAATGATTTAACATGATCTAAAGGTTTAAATAAAGCAATAATTCCATTTAAAACATAATAATTTTTAAGTTTCCTTTTTAAAAGTTTCATAAGTTTTGGTTTATAGTTACTACTTTAACATGTTATATTATCTGAGCATTATATTACTTTACCTTTTTTAAACATGTCATCAATCAAAGAGCAGGCTGACAATAAACTGATTAGGTACTACACAACCTTATATTACAGGTACTACACACTAGTCAGATTTTAGGAGATATACAAGCCACAACAGATTGGCACTAAACAGTCATCATTTTCCAACATTCAAATAAGAGTATAATTCAAGCATTTTCTTGAATTATGGCTTTATACATTTTTCTAAAATAAATACTGAACTCATGATCTACATTTTTTATTAGAAAAATTATCTATAACTAAACAAAACACAATTCCACCAATAAGAAAACCAGACATCTAGTACTTTACAGTCTGAAGCCAAAGAAAGAAAGAAAGTCAAAGAGAGGCACTCTCAGTCTTTTAATAATCCTCTATTTAAAAAAAAAAAATTATCACCCACAACTCATCTTACTTTACTTCTCATGTTTTTACCAAATTAAAGAACCAGGGGTTCTGTGGTCCAATGACATTTCTGTCACTGTACCAAACCCAATCACTCCCTGCTTGCGAGGGTTCCAGCAAGGATCCCACTCTGAAGCATCAACCCCGAGTCTTCTAGCTCAGCGCCATCGCAAGCCCTGGAAAGTCAGCCACAGCTCACGTCCTCACAAGAGCCAAGAATTGGTTCTCACTCCTGCCCCCCTCCCAAACAATCCTATCTAGATCTAAAATTTCCCCTGCGGAAAGTCAACCAGCTGAGAAATCAAAGTATACACAAGTTTACCACCTGCCCTATCCTAGAACTGCATAACCAGTGACAAGCACACACAATGCTGGGGCCAGAAGGACAGGGCTCACTCACACTCTGCTGCTGACTGTCACTGGATAATCCCACCAAGGCTTCTGTCTCGAGTTCACATGCAATAACAGCACTGCCATCAAATATACACATCTGAACATGAAGGGGGAAAAGTCATCTGTGGAAATGCACAGGTTCATAAATAGGCAAGTAAGTTCTTGTTAATCTACCAATGGTAGGGGCACCTTTTGTGGTGGTGACTGATATAAAAAAACAATAATAATTGAGTCACACCATAGCCACACATTATCCTCAAGCAAATATGAACAGTCTGAAGATTCCCATGTCTATTCTTATAAGTCCTTTACAATATAGCAAGATCTTATAGCAACAATTGACATTT